AAGGGAGAGGAAAAGTCAAAAATGGATCTCAATAGCTTTACTTCAGCCATAGGATTTTTATTGGTGGAGTCTTAGTACCACGAATGTTTCCTCTAAGATATTAGGGTAATTCTCAGTTCTCTTTAGTCCCCTAGATTAAAGAGCAAGTGTGTGGGAGGGTTGCAGCCTCCAATTCAGTACGAAGATGTTCACACCAACCCAGACCAGGACTGCTGCCTACTACAGGTCACCACCCTCAATTTCATCTTTATTCCAATTGTCATGGGAATGATATTTACCCTGGTAAGTGGCCATGAAATGTCATCCTCAGCTCTTTCATAGACTCTCACTATACTTAGGATTTGAAAGAAAACTGTTATCAATAAAAAGTCTGAAAGTAGATTTGTATATTAGGAACACAGAGATTTGTAGAGAAGTCAGTCACATCTGAGGATATTTTACTTCTGTTTCCTTTACAGTAAAGGGAACGTTCTGCATCTCCTTTATAGCGATCATTAATGTTTAAGAAACATTATCCTGTTAGTGACTAATGGTGAGGCTTATGTGCAAGCTCTGTATGTCAGGACCTTGAGGCATGTGTGTGGTATCCTATATGGAATATCAAAATGTGGGGTGGCCAGCTCTGTCCCTTGTGCAATGCTCTGACTATTCAAGGCTTAACTGAGAATTACATTAGTAAACCATTTGGCATATTTTCCAGGTTTTTAAAATTTTTAACTGGATTGGCAACTAGAGAGTTCATGTAGTCTGTCTTCTCTGTCTTTTATGTTTATGTTCAGAGATATGTGGGGACACCCCCTCCTAATTGAAAATAACTTTATTCTTTTTTAATATAAAATAACTGTATGCTTCATGTGAAGAATCTAAATAATACATGAATGCATTGAGAAAGTAAAGGTGACTTAGACTTCCACTGTCTTGTAACTGCAGTTACCCTCTTGGGAACTGTTCTTTAATGTGCCTGTTAATATTTACATGTGCACATACACACTCTCTCACATGATTTCGTATGAATAAGACCATGTCCTACATGCTGTCGTTACTGGAGGTACCTCTCTCTCTAGGTTAAGCCACTCTAATGACCTAGTTGTATGCTCATACTCCATGTACTGCATGTTCATGCAATTCTATACAGACCTACATATACATGAACACATGCTGTTCAGGTTCCTGGGGCTCCTGTTAGGGGAAGGAGAGGGATTGATTTGGGGAAAAACAATTATGATTTGTAGACATATTTTCATGTAACAATTTGTATTTGAAAGGAGAAACCTGGCCCTATTTTCTAAGTTAAACCCCATTTGGTGCTATTGATTTACAAAAAGTATAATCAGATGTATGTTTCATGCATCTTACTTGAATTGCTCAACAATATCTCATCAAAGTCCCGTCAAGTCATCTCTTACAGCTCTAATCCAGTTTTTAAAACTGGCTTTAGTGGTAGTCTGTGTGTATGTATTCTAATTTATTCAGCCATGTGAGAGACTTTCTTTAGCATAGTTTGAATGTAAGAAGATAAAATCACCCTTAATTTTTTATATCTTGGTAAAGGTATATTATATTATGTATTAGTATCATCTCTTAGAGATTATCTCGTGGCCTTAAATTTATTTTCTAAATTTTGTCTCGGCTGTCTCATTTCACAGTGAGCCATAGGAAAACAGGGTTGTTTAATTTGGGTAATGAATTTGCTTTTCCCTCTCAGTTTACTATCAATGTGAGCACGGACATGCGGCATCATCGAGTGAGACTCGTGTTCCAAGACACTCCTGTCCATGCTGGTCGGAAACTGCGCAGTGAGCAGGGTGTGCAAGTCATCCTGGACCCAGTGCACAGCGTCCGACTCTTTGACTGGTGGCATCCTCAGTATCCGTTCTCCCTGAGAGCGTAGTTCCTGCTTCCCGTCCCGAGGGCAGCCCTGAGCTAGGCCAGTCCATTAGTGATCAGATTCCAGTTTGGAGGGGTGGCTGGGTTGTATATCTGGTTAGTCATACACATGCTGTTCAGGTTCCTGGGGCTCCTGTTAGGGGAAGGAGAGGGATTGAATTGGGGGAAAAAATTATGATTTATAAACATATTTTCATGTAACAATTTGTATTTGAAAGGAGAAACCTGGCCCTATTTTCTAAGTTAAACCCCATTTGGTGCTATTGAGTTTGTTCCTTATTCTTTTATCCCAGCAAAAATGGATTATCTTGCTCTAGGGAAAAATTAAACTCCTGAATCTCCAGACCAGGAGCGTCAGCATCCCTTATGGACCAGAGGAACCTCAGAGGCCTAACAGTGTTGCTCTTGTTGTTCCCAGTGTAGCTGCCCCTCAAATTCACATGGATGTTTTCTCCCTTTACCCTTCCTCAGAAATAAAGCAGGTAACAGGGTTTTCAGAATCTTACAAGAATGACTTGTGTATCTTTCTTTAAAAATAATTTTTGGATATTTATCGCATAAAAGTCTTTTTGCTGATTGTGAGTTTTAGGTATTTTTTTGCATGAGGCTGATGGTGATGACAATAACTTTATGCCCTTGGTACTATACCAGGAACTTTATGTAAAAGCTCTCATTCTCACAACCCTGCAAGGTGGATGATTCTATTGGCATTCTGTGGTTGAGAGAACTGAATCAGTGACTCACTCAAGGCCATTCACATCCATGAAATGGCGGAGCCAGATTCTGGCCTGGCCTTTTGCTGTACCCCAGTTAAAAAGGTCAGTCATTTTTCTTGTGGTAGATGGTGGCAAAAGGAGTAGGCAGAATGTACATAGATAAAAAAGTAAAAAGGTGGCTAAAAATTTGTGGTATACCTTACTGCTTCTCAGCCTAAAAGGTATGTAAGGTTGATGAAGGGTCTTTTAAATATCTGTTTCTAAGTAAAATGGAGAACAGTCCAAGAAAATTACTGCAGGAAGGATAGTGACATTTTCACTGAATTGTTAGAAAGGCATTTATTATGCTGGAGGTTATTAGAAAAAAATCCCATATTGAAACCAGCCTCCTGAATTATAAGCATTTAGTGACTTTGCTCTGCCCTGTGCTACCTGTTGTCCTGTGTGTCTACAGAAACCTGGCCCTTTGTCCCTGAGGAAATGCTGATGTCCTGTTGGTCAGAGGACTCACTGTAGCTGGTGTACTACTATGAGAAGAGACTCGTGGGTGGGTCGTTTCACTTCTTGTTTTTGCTGACAGGATAAGCTTGCTCACTGTTTGTCATCCCCCTCACCCCACCCCAGATTAGCCAAGACCTGGGTATTAGTTGATGTTGCAATGAGGTGGACATTAAGAAGATACTCTTTAAACACAAAAATCTGTGGGGGCGGTTATTATCATGAGCCAAGCTGCTAAATTAGTGTGTTGTTTTTTCCTTATCATCTTGCCTGCCTGCTGATGTTTAAAGAATATTCTTAGGAAGCATTTGCTTAATATTGCTGCTTACAGCTAACGTTTCCAGCACTGAGGGTGAACCAAAGCTATTCTTACAGAAAGTGAGCCTGGGTCAGTGAAAAACAAATTTGGGCATTTAAATGATACAAACAACCAAACAACCCAAGGACAATAAACACCTTGCAGATCCCTACAATGGAAAGTTGCCTCTTTGAGGCCAGAAGAGAGAAACGTGGAGTTCCTAGTTCCCTGAACTCAAGATGCCGTGGAGCAGGTGGGAGGTGGGTGGTTATGTTCCCCATTTAGGACCTTTAAAATGGGAGTGAAATAAATTTGGCTTAATATCTGTGTTTGTACTCAACTTCCAAGTTTTTGTATTAAACTTCATGGCATGATAATAGATACAATATTGGATATATATCTAATATATAATAAGTATATAATATATAATATATTATATAGCTGGTTTCTTATACCTGGCAAAATGTGTGATCTTGGCGTCAGCCTTCCCTTTGCGTTGGCTGAGTTGACTCTTACAAATGATTCATTCTGTTAGCGAAAGAATGTGAAGTGTCTGTCTTAAGTATTTCTTTCTGATGAGAACCCCAAACCACCGGGAGAAGAGTTGGAACTTCCCGGACTATTGTCAAACCCGCTTCGTAATTTTAACTTTAAAAAATATATACCTTGATTTTGCTTTGAGGGTCAAACAAAATAACACAAATTTATCTTCGTTTCTCACCCCCACATAAATCAAACTTAGATTTTTCCACCTTCTACCAAAGATAGAAGGACGGACACTAAGCCAAACATTGACTGCATTGGAAGGGGTGGGGAAAAGAGTTTGTGCCACTGATCTCAACTACAGCAGTTATTGCTGATCTGGAACGTGTGTGTGTTTCTATAAATATGTGCACGTTGCATGTAGATAAAAATGATTCACACTTATAGCAGTGCTTACCGGATATTGTAAAGATGAGTAGGCACTGTGATGGAACTTCATCAACCAGATGGGAAAGATGCATTAATAGCCACAGGAGACAGGGTAAGGGGCAATTCAGGGAAGTGGAGAATTTAACTAAGATTTGTCAGGAATTTTGGCATTGAAACCGACTATATACTATGTATATTTAATAGACAAGCCTTTCATTTTATAGTAACAAGTGTTGGCACAGCCAGGCGTCAGGCAAGCGACACAACTCACTTAAGTGCACACTATGGGAAAGTGGATTTCAAGTTTCTCCACTGAAAACATGGGTGCGGCCAAAGTAAAAGTAATAAATGGGCGCGAGAGCGCAGAGGTGAACCATTGGCGACAATCACAAGGCGAGGACTGAAGCCAGTTGAGGGAGCCGTAGATTAGGGACAAGGGCGAGTTCAAAGGGAGGGACAGGGACGTGCCGCGGCTCGGCGGGAAGGAGGCTGGGCCCCCGCCGGGACGACCTGCCCCGCACCCGGGGGAATCCCCGGCCGAGCCAAGATGGCGGCGCACGGCCCCGGAGCGGCGCTGTCGTCACCTGTCGGGGCGGGGGCGGGGCCCCTCCCGTGGGGGTGGGGCCAGCCTCCTCCAGGGGCGGGGCCTGGAGGCGAGGCGCCTCGGCGCTGGCGAGGGCTGCAGGCTGCCTCGGCGCTGGCGAGGGCTGCAGGCTGCCTCGGCGCCGGCCCGGCTCTCTAGGACGTGTGGGGCTCCCCCGGCCGGGGGCGGCTCCCTGCTTCCTCGGAGCTGAGCTGCGGGGCCTTTGGAGACTGAAGACAGGTGAGAGTCCAGAGCCCGCGGGGGGGGGGAGGATGCCTCTTTCCCGCCTCCAGCTCCCCTCAGAGTTTGGGGCGGGGGTGTCCGTCCTACGCGCCTTGGAAAACGGCCCCTTTCCACCCCGGCTGTGTCGTCCCCTCGGGCATCGGTGCTGCTCCCTCTGCCGCCCTTCTCCGGCCTTTGCCCTTGGGGGTGAGAATGGGGGCCGATGCCCGATTTGCGTGGAGGGCGTGGAGTTCGCCCTCAGCTCCCCCAGCCTCGGGGGAGGGGAGCCGAGCTGGCAAGTCTCCCAGTGGGGGCTGGTCGGACTGTGCCCCCATTTCCTCGCCGGGAGAGTCGGGGAAGCAGCGCCTCAGCTGCTGGACCAGTTCCGCTCCTTTGGTTGCAAGAGGTGCTGAGGTCTTCGCGCTTCCCGAGGGTCTTAACCTTCCCGCGTCGCTCCTAACACCCTTTCTTGGTATCGCCAGCTCTCCATTCCTCGAACTGTTAGTCTCGGGCTGTGCCAGAAATGCCCCCATCTCCGCAGTGCCCGGCGGTGGGGTGGAAGGAGTGGCCAACTCGAGGTCTGGTGGGGGTGGGCGCAACCGGAAAAGTGGGCTGGGAAAGAGCCTCCGGCACTGCGAGAGGGGCAGTGGGGCGATGACTCTCCGCCACGCAGGAGGGATGTTTTCCAGTACAGATCCTGCAGGTTTGGATACTGGGCGGGAAGAGGGAGGCCGGGTTGGAGGACTTGGCAACGTGGTGTGGGTGGTTTTCTTTGAGAAGGAGGAGGGATAGAGGAGAAGGCGCCACTGGGGACTGATGTCACCTTTGAGGAGAGGTCTGCCGGTGGGGGAGGTGGGGCTGCTGTTCCGCTGCTCTGTGTGGGGGCAAGTGGTTGGGGAGGAGGCCCCCCACGCAGCGTGGAGACCCTTCGCGGTGGGAGCGGAAGGGCCCCCCAGCAGCCAGGTTTCAGGGATTTCCCTCGGCCTTTCAGTGGTGTAGGAACCGGTACCTAGTACTTTGTTCAACATCCAGCAGACATTTATGAGCACCTATTATAGGCCAGCCGCCATGCTAGGTGCTGGGTCTTCAGAAGCAATTTAGGGCCATGGAGCAGCTGAAAGAAACACGCAGTAGGCACTCTGTTAACAGTTCTCCCTGACTGCCATCCCGGTCCCCCACCCCCACCCCCATTTTGTTACAGGGCTACTGGATTAGAAAAAGACAGAACTGTGTCCACATGCTTTCAAGTAGCTGTCTGGACTGGATTCCCGCCTGTCCACCCCTTTAGCTGGCCAGGTGGTCCCAAGGAAAGCTGCCTTAGCAAAAGGAACAGTGTGAATGACTTTCCTTGGATATTTTCTAGGACTTTGTCCTGAGGCCTAGGAGGCTGCTGCCTAGGATAAATGCCATCTCAAAATAATGAGATGATGAAGAGCACAATGGTTTTGGGAGGCCAAGAATGCACTGGACACCCCAGCACTGCAGGAGATGCCATCTCTGAAGATAGAAGAGTATTGGGGAAGGGGGTGTGGAAGGGAAATCTCATCCGGTGGTATCTGGGCGTGTGCTGCAGAGCACGTCATGGTGTCAGAGCTGTGGAGTGTATGAGGTCTGGTAGCTGGGCAGTAAGGAGGGACTGGAGGGGCAGGCAGCCAGGCTGCTGGGTCTCCTCTCTGAGTTGGCTGCTGAAATCTTATTAGAGTTGGAAAGAGTTGCCAGGGATGCTCGTGGGTCCTTTCAGAGCCTCAGGATAGGCGGGAGAGAGCTGGGGAAGACGTGGAGTCCGGCCGTGGTGGCAGTGAGGCAGGGGTGAAGGCTCAGCAGGGCCAAGGGGACTTTAGGATTGCGGGGAGACTCCCCCTGGGGCTTTAGCCCTTGGATGGGTTGCTGTAGAAACAAGGTATGGTTCTGGGTGGTGTGGAGTTGTGCCTGGTGCTTGCTGGAAAGAAGGAGTTGGTAGAGCTGGGAGGGCTATGGCCCTGAAAACTGCCTCCGGATCCAAGTCCCAGGTGGGAAACTGGGAGAAATGGAGGGGAGGAGTGGGATCAGAGGGAGGGGCGTGTGTGTGTTGCAGCCACATGAAGCCACCATCTGTCCTAGCTCGCTGACCTATTATTAGCTGTGGAGGGCATGTGGTGCTGGCTGGCAGGAGCATGGTGCTTTGGGTGGCCAGCGGAGTGAAGAGTACTCAGAGGGGGTGTGGTGGGTGGTGAACTCTGAGAGGGGCTGCTCCTACTAAGGGACCCTCCCTCAGCCTTTGCTGCACTCGGAGGGGCCTGTGGCAACTGAGAATGTCACGGATGAGAGGGGGTGCGGAAGCCTGGTTGGGGGAAATAGCAGTGGGGGAGGGAGCCCTGAGCTAGGATGGTATGAAACTCCAGGGCTGGGCGGAGCTGAGGACTCCGCTCTTCTCCCTGGCCGAGGGCTTACCAGTTACACAAGAAACTGTGATTGTTGGCCAGCTTTTTGCTCACGTTTTAGAGAGCCTTGGGTGCTGTAGGCCCCTGCCTTTCGCAGTTATCTTCTGTTCCCCAGGTGAAGTCAGTTCTAACACAGAGAAGCTTCTTACTTGTCAGTCGGGCTGAGAGACCTTGGCTGGGGCTGTTCATTCTGAGAGAGCAGGCGAAGGTGCCACCGGGTAATTCAATCGGTCACACTCCAAGTGGTGCTCAGGACTGACCCCTGGACTGAGCCAGAGACTGAATATTTGGTCACGAGCTACTCTGTATTGCTCTTGAATGATTACTTGTGTACAGTAGCCCCCCTTTATCTACAGGGGATGCCTTCCAAGACCCCCCCAGTGGATGTATGAAATTGAGGACAGTACCAAGTCCTATAAATATGATGTTTTTTCCTGGAACTACATACTTATGATAAGACTTAATTTATAAATTAGGCATGGTAAGGGATTAACATCAATAATAATAAAATAAAACAATTATAATAATATGCTATAATATTATGTGAATGTGGCCTCTCTCAAAGTCTCTTACTGTACTATACTCACCTTTCTTGTGATGATGTGAGATGATAAAATGCCTACATGATGAGATAAAAGTGAGGTGCATGACGTAGACATTGTGACAGAGCAGTAAGCTACTATTGACCTTCTAACAGTAGGTCAGAAGGAGGATCGTCTGCTTCTTGACTGCAATTGACCACAGGTAACTGAAACCACGGATTAGGGGGCTACTGTATCTGTTCTGTCAAGTAGACTGAACTTCTTGAGATTCTTGAGAGTTGAGATCATAGCTTACATGCCTTTTGTATCCATAACAATTCCTAGCTCAGTATTGGATTCATGAAAATCTACTCGATAAGTAATTTTTGGATTGAATTGAAAGGTCTATTTTCTGATCCCCTGGGTTCAATGAAGCAGGGCCTCCTTGCAACTAGGAATATTTAACCTGGAGCAGAGAAGCCTCTGGGGAGCCACTACAGTGGTGTTACATTTCAGTGGGGGAATTAGATTCTGTAGGGAGTAAAGTGAAAATGCCTAAATCTCTCATAAAGCGTGGTATGTAGGTTTAGGCTTATAACTCTGAATGATGTTAATGTACAGATATGGTGTACATTGTATATGTTATACATTACACATTATGTATTTGTATATTTTACATATACATAGAAATATACATTAATATATTACATTGTAAATACATAATGTATACAGTGGTCTTAAAAAGAGTACTTCTGTACAATATAATTTTGTAGTTAAGTGTCAGATGAAATAGCTGGTTTGTGTTTAGAGGCCTATTTTGCCTTGCCCGCAGAGTTCGGTGCTCATATCCTGGCCACTGTTTTTAGAGAGAAACTTGTTATTTCAAAGGGGAGACAGTTTTCCATTCAATGTAATAAAAAGCTTCCTTAAAACAATGAGGGCTTTCTCATTTAGTAGTGAGCTCCTTTTTCTGAAGGATAATCAAGCAAAGATTGGTTGTCAGGCGTGTAGAAGGAACAGCATGGCGTGGCCTGCATGACTTCAGAGATCCAAGCAGGAACCTGTAGTTCCAAGGAAGGAGTCGGGGAGAGGTGGGCACTGGGTGGCAGAGGCCTTGGCAGGTGTTGCAGAAGACCACTCACCTGTGTTTTGAGGGGGGATGCTGAGGACAGAGGGCCTGGGGAATAGAGCCAGGCCAAGAGCTCGGTGTGGGCTGTTCCACGTGGAGTGGCAGTCCCTGGAGATCCGGCAGGTGACTGCAGACATCTCTAATGCACGTGGGTCCCGTGCTTAGGAGGCCCTGCTGTCAGCTCTGATGGGTAGTTAAGTAGAAAGGTGGTGTGGGCCCAGTTCCTTCACTGAAGCTCCCGTTAGGCCAGTTGTGGAGTACCCCAAATTTTTGGCCCTTGTTTTGGGTAGAGCACCTGGAGCAAGTGGAATTTTCATTCCTGTTATCATCCCCATCTTTCCCTCCTCTCCCTGGCACACATGCTCATACAGGTGCAAGACCACACACGCACTACCCCCTTTCATGACAAGCAGTATGCTCCCATGATCCCGCACACATGCTCTCACGGTGCCCAATGCTCAAACATGCATGATGTCATGACTCCTGGATGCATGTCCTTGTATGACTGCACAATCCATTCTCATTCTCACACATGCATCCTTTTTTTTTTTGTGTGTGTGTGTGTGTCTTACTGGTTTTTTTTGGTATCATTAATATACAATCACATGAGCAACATTGCAGTTACTAGACTCCCCCCATCAAGTACCCCCCCCATATCTTATTACAGTCACTGTCCATCAGCGTAGTAAGATGCTATAGAGTCACTACTTGTCTCCTCTGTGCTATACTGCCTTCCCCGTGCCCCTGCCCTATGTTATGTGTGCTAATCGTAGTGCCCCTTATTCCCCTTCTCCCTCCCTTCCCACCTATCCTCCTCAGTCCCTTTCCCTTTGGCAACTGTTAGTCCATTCTTGGGTTCTGTGATTCTGCTGCTGTTTTGTTCCTTCAGTTTTTGCTTTGTTCTTATGTTCCACAGATGAGTGAAATCATTTGGTACTTGTCTTTCTC